TTTATCTCAACCAGCAAAAACCCTTGTTCCTTCCTATTATTGCTTATACTCTCTCTTCAACAAAATTAGAAATAAGGGCAAAATAGTTTCTGCTGGGTATTGAGGGGGGGGGAGAGGGAGGGGGCGGAGTGGGTGGTAAGGGAGGGGGTGGGGGCAGGGGGGAGAAATGAACCAAGCCTTGTATGCACATATGAATAATAAAAGAAAAAGGAAAAAAAAAATCTCTATGCCTTATTATACCAATCTGAGAGATGGAGTTAACAATTAGAGACAGTTCATGTAAATTGCCTTTAAGCTCAATAAATGGAAGTTATTGTTATGTCTCACAAGACTGTGACGTCAGAGACTATCTTACTCATCGCTGCAATGCTGGCCCTTAGCAAGACATCCTCAACAAGTTCATGAATAAGAAAACATTCTATGCATCTAATCCTCTCTTAAAGCAACAGTACTTAGATCAAGATGTCTCTGTTCCTAGCATCCTAGAGTCCTTTTTCTGTTGTTGCTCTGAACTTTTTCACCATATCCCATCCCTCATCCTAATTTTTAGAACTCCTGCCAATTCTAAAGGCTCCACTTCTACCTCCCAAACTACCAAGTTTGGTGGTCTCTGACCCCTACTTCCATAGCCCTTCCCTGTTCCTGCTGAAAGAAATGGGGTCTGCTTAGCCTCCACCATGAGCTACAGTGGACTAACTACATACTGGCTATTCTGAGACCTGACATCACTTAATGTTGTTCCTTACACTTATACACACACACACACACACTTTTGGAATTAAATCTGTTTGTAAATTGGCCATGGGTGGTATTTGGCCATTACTGACCCTTTACAGCTAAACACTGGTATAGAATATAAAGGATTGTTCTAAAAGTCTTTCTGCCATTTTACAGGAGCTACAAGACTAGGATCTTCACTTTCCTTGTCTCACAAAACCAGAAAACAAAACACTATTATTAATACTTTAATGTCTGCATTAGGTATCTGTAGTATCACATTTGTTCATAATGTTAGATATTTCAGCTATTGCATGTGAAATGTAGGAGGCATATACTAATAAATTCATTCTGCATAAGAGATAAAGTGTCACTTTATAAGAAGCACTAGAAATAATTTTTATTTCCTACTCTAGTAGTGATACTTAATTATCTATAAATCTACACTGTGAAAAGACTAGGTTCTTTTCTACCAAGCTGCCATACTATGGTTGTGATAGTCCTCAAAAGTCTTCAGAAATATTTCAAATTTCACATAGAATACTTGCCACAATTAATGTAATATGCAGAGAGAACATGCTATTGAGATCTTTCCACTTAAACCAAAAATATTAAATCCAACCTACCAGGGACTCTGAGATCTAGACATCTCCTGGGATGACAGACAAGTCTGTTTATAATTAGTTTTTCATTAAGTGGAATTGGCATAGCAGACATACTGCTTAATAATCTTTTCTCTTGCTTAACATGCAGGCTTTCTTATATAGTCTTAGGATAAAATGGCTGAATGTAAATTAATTTTTATACATTCATGCTCTCCTGTGACCCATCCCACTGATTTACCTAGAGAAAGCCCTCAGCTAAGAGGAACTGGCTATTTACTATATTGTAAAATTTTTGGTTCACAAGGGCTGAAACTCAGCCAGCCTTATGTCTTTTCTGCTCATTAATTTTTCTAAGATCAGAAAAGTCAGTCTTCTTTTTCGCCTTAAGAAATCATGTCAGAATTTTTCCACGCAAGGTAGCCATGTGGAAATGGAAATAACAAGTGGCTGTATGTTTGCACTGGGGGCGGGAAGTAAAGGGGAGAGTCTACCCTGGTGATTAGAGGGCAGAATGGTTATGAAATTTGGCTCCAGTCAAACATCCAGGGCTAATAGAATCTCACGGAAACCACATTTAATAAATGTTAGCTGAAATTCATCTTCTTTCCAGATGAATCAAGACAACTTCTTCTTTACCAAACAGTTATATAGCCAAGGAAGCTGTAATTATTCAGAGAAGATAAAAAAAAAAAAACCCTGTAACCTCTAACCAGACATTATTAACTTCCATTTAAATACAAGAACATATTTAACTCTATAAAAAGTTTTCAAAAGTCTAAGTCAAGTTAGGTAATAACTCCACCTTGTTTCAAGATCAATCTTTTATTATTTATAAAATATATTAAAACAATAAATATAAAATAAGAAAAATGAAGATAATAAAACTAGATGAAGCCAACGTTTTGACTAGTATGCTGTGAGGTCCTTGCTGGGGCGGGGGAGAGCTACAAATTTGGCTCTAAGCAGTCTAGCAGAGTAAAATATAATCTTTACAATGTATATAAAATCCACAACCTAAAAACAAACCAGCTGCTTAGAAGCCTCACTGTTGCTGGTACAGAGCACAGAGAAAACCATGACAAAGTGAATCAGACCCTCCTGGTCATTCTAAGGGTAAACCTGTGGCACATGGCAGTCACCAAATTTGCAATAGTCCTTAGTAGGGACCAATAATGAGATCAGTACAAGCCATCCCTCTCTGTGTTCTAACTCTGCGGCACAGATATTACCGATGCCATTTTATAAGCAGGGACGCTAAGATTCCAACACACTGAGTACCTTTTCCATGGTCATATATGTAAGTGACTGAGCTGGGCTTCAAATCCAGGTCTGTTTCATACCAGGCCTGTATCCCATCATCAGACCACACTGTTTTTCTGAGAGCACCATCATTACAGGTGTAGGATCAGGTAGGGTGATGCCATGGTACAGGTACTGAAGCAATCTGATTTAAAGGTGATATCTAGTCTCATTCAACTCAGTACTAGACCAAGAGTCTGAAAGAATAAGCCAAGGTATTAGCCTAGATGAGAGGTGTCTTATAATTGTCAGTTCCTTGCAGTTCACCTGTTTACAATGTCAGGAAGCAGGCACTACTGTTTTATTATCAATGGTTACATTTGTTTCCCCATCCAGCCCTCTCCCCGGCTTTCTGTGATACTGAAGTTTGAACTCAGGGCCTCACGCTTACTAGGCAGGTGCTCTTCTACTTGAGCAATGCCTCCAGACCTTTTTGTTGCTGTTGTTCTTGGGTATTTTTGAGATAGGGTCTCACAAACTATTTGGCCTGGCTGACTTTGAACCACAATTCTCCTGATCGCTGCCTCCTGAGTAGCTAGGATTCAGGCCTGAGCCACTGATGTCCAGCCCTCCAGCCCTTTTTGCTTTAGTTATTTTCCAAGTAGAGTCACACTTTTTTCTGGGTGGGTGTGGACCTCAGTCCTTCTATTTATGCCTCCCATAAATGGGTGCATAGCACCACACCCAGCTTTTTTGTTGAGATGGAGTCTTGCTAACATTTTGCCTGGGCTGTATCCAAATGTGATCCTCCTAGCACTGTCTCCTGAGTAACTGGGGTCACAGGTGTCAGCCACCACAGCCCAATGTTTCTTCCCTCTTAATTTTCTTTCTCATGTTCTTCTTTGTATCTGTCTCCTTTGGCTACTCTAGTTCTCTCTGTTAATTTCCTCCACTCACATGTTTTTTAAGTAAATAGTGATTAATTCTATCTGTAGGATGCTGTATTTTCAAAAGGAAAATCAAAAGGATGCAATGTAAGGCAGTCTCCTGGGACAGCAGGTGCTTTTTAAAGCCACAACTACCAGCTGCACCAATAGAAGGTAAGTGTTGAAATCTTTATTATGTGACTCAAAGCAAACCATTTAGTCTTTAGAACCCATTGCCTCAGTATTTCTATAATGTGCCTTTAAAACAAATAAGCAGAGTCTAGAAACTCCAAAGAAATAAAGAATAAGCCTTGAGGAAATCAAGTTGAACTGTAATGAAATTAAATGTTATTTTTCAGAGTTCTTCTAACAGCTTTAGGCCACTGATTTTCACCGTTAGAAGTTTTGCAGGCTGTAGGCAAGACACTGTCTAATTTTTTGTAAGATTAGCAGAGATAATGGAAGAAAGACAGAGATCCATCCCACCTAGCAAGTACCAGTGTAAACTGCAGGTGTTAGGAGACCAAGTCAGATTAACATGACCAGACATTTCAAAGAAAAGTAAAAAATGACAGAGAAACTATACTTACTCCAAGGGCAGCCTGGTAGGGAACGTCTGATGGGAAAGTGAACGAGGGGCCAGTTGTCACTGGACTACTTGGGGGTGGGGTCACGATTAACCCCGTGGTACTTATATGAACCTGCCAAGAAAACACAAGTTATTAAAACAAAGACCAAATTTCACTGGCAGGAAGTGGCATTAAGACATCTATATCTTCAGTTATTTTTGGGAAGGCGGAATCCCTTTTGGGGTTTCTTCAAACCCAAATTTACTGCTTACTGAATTTGGACCAGGCATTTTACCAGATGCTGGGGAACCATGGACAAATGGTGGTTAGGGCAATGTTCTATAACAGAGTTAACTGCTGCTAGCTTTCACGTTGTAGCAACCATGAATGATCAGACTGCAGGCTCGAGTAGCTTTCTGGCAATTCCCCTGGAAAGCCTGCTAAGGTGGGTTGAGGCTGAATAGCCACCTTTCAGATATGTTAGGTCTATGTAAAATTCTTAGGGTATCATGCTATTTTCAAGATCATTCTTCATGACCTCTACCTTTCAGAAAGGCTGCATAATTAAATTACAACTGCCTAGACATGCCTACAGCAGACAATTACTTATAAAACCTTTAAAGGAACAATGTCAAGCCAAATTAGTTGATTTCAAAGGTGTCTTATCCATGATACTAACCCAAGATTAATCTACTAGAAGGAAATTGAGTTATTCAGGTCATTTCATTGCCTGTGTTCAATTACTCGATCAATTTCACTCAGGTTTCAGAGCAGGTCTAACTGCAGAATGCAACAGTGCTCCATGATTTGCAGAAGGGGGAGGGGTACACTTCTGAACAAATAGTGTTTTTCTTTCAACATGTATGGAGGCCACAGAGGTTGTACCGTGTGTCTGCAAGGTAACAATGATACCTAAGAATGGTAGGCTTATAATAATAAAAATACAACCTCAAACATGTTTCTTCAATTTCCATAAATTAAGGAAAGTATTATCAGGTCAAAGAGATCCTCAGAGATTAGTTCCCAGAAGGCCTGAAGAAGACTTTCAGCTTCTCCCTGGTTAGGCCCTATGAAAGCCAGGGATTAGCAGCATTACATCATACACTTTGTTTTCACAAATAAACCTGAGCTACACCTGGATTCTACAACCTTTTCACAGTACATGTGTACCTACAAGTCCATATATTGATGTATCCATGGGTGCCACTAACAAGAGTTTCTCCCCATACCCTCGCCCTCTGTCTCTCCTTGTGAATGAAAGCCTATTCCCAACCTATTTCTAAAGGCAGCACGCTGGTTTTCATTCTAGGATATAGCCATTGCTTTTAGCTATATTATCCAATAAATCGTTTAGATATACACTCAAGGACATCTGAAAGTTGGCACCACACAAAAGAAGTAGCCTTTCTTATGCAATGAAGCTCCACTCAAAATAGCTATCCTTATCAAAGAATCTTTGGGACAGAAAAAAAAAAAATACAGCTTCCTGACCTGACTCTACAAAAAGCTAAGAAAGATTTCATTATTGACAGACATTTCTCTAAAAGCCCCACCCTGGGAGCCAAAATAATTAGCTGCTAGTGACCTCAAGATCCTAGGATAGGTGATTCTGTCTCCGGACCCCAAGGGGGAGTTGGGCCAGAGGCTCCCTGAGGTCTCTGCCCTCACAGTTGAGGAGTGAACACAGAGACTCTTGCAATCACCACTTTAACATAGGGCCACTCCTAGAACAGGAGCAAAGGAAGAGAAGTTACCAAGAAAAACCACTGAGAAGCACAACAAACAGAAGGAAATGGGCTGAGGTGAGCATGCCCAATGTAAATGTTGAAGAGGGACAACCTGAGAATCTGATTTGCTCATCCTTTTCTTGTGGAATTGCAGAAATGAGTCAGTCTCCTTTACCAAAAAGTACTAAAGAAGAGGGAAGAGTTGGGGGATCCAAATAGGAGTAGGTGGATGGGCCTTCTTGCTATCCCTGAGGGAATACAAAACTTCCACAGGAGCACTTAATATTAGCAATCACTTCTCCACGTGACACAGGCCAAAAGGTATCCTAGGTGTGGTCAGAGGAACAGACAGAACACATTGGTTGCTTGTACCATCGTGTGCTTCCACATGCACAGCACAGCCTGAAAGGCATCTTTCAGTTTGTGTATTTAAAAATTCAAATACGCTATAGTGGTGAATGCCTGTAATTCCAGTAACTTGGGAGGTGGAGGCAGGAGGACATTGAGCTGGAGGCCAGCCCAGGCAAAGGTAGTGGCAAGAGCCTGACTCAAAAACAAAATAAAAAACTAAAAGGGCTAGGGGTGTGGCTCAAATGGTAGAGTGGGTGCAAAGTCCAGGATTCAGTCCCCAGTATAGGTTAGGGAGAAGAAAAGAAAAATCCAGTCATTACTCCACAGTCACTAAACACAATGGCAAGCTTTGCTCCCTTTTGTCCATTTTACCATCCTGCTGCCAGATATACTGTGACAGTGATACCAGGATGTGACAATGAGAGATGTCTCTTAATTGTCATCTAAAAATATAGAGGAGAAGGACATTCTCACAGGGTGAAGAGGGGAAGTGAAAGAAGCCAAGTCCCTACTAACTTTGTGGAGCCATCACACCAGCACTCAACTGCTACACCGAGATTTCATTTGGATGACAGAAAGATGAACGCTACTTCTTTAGGTCCCTTACTCTTGACCTTCTAATAATTGCAACCAAACCTAACTCTAACTAACATATGATGGGGAAAAAGCAGAAGGAAGGAAAATTGAGGCTAAAGGTAGGAAGACAGAAATCCGGCCAATATCAAGAGATAGATTCAGCAACGGGCCTCACTCACATCTGCAGATAAAGGAAAAGGGCAGCCCACAGGCCATTTCCCACGCATGCTGGTCTCCATGGTTAGGAGCGTGCTTGTTGTCACACACACTACAGTACTCAGTGCTTTCTTGTGGACTGTGGTTCCTTTCAAGGCACAAAATGCCCTAAATAAGTGGTGTTTTCTGTAAACCTAGGCGGGAGAAACCTGGCAGCATTGCGAACACCTCCCATCTTCTAGAAATAACTTTCCCCTGAGGCAAAAGACTACCACTGAAAACAGAACCAACTGGAATATGGAGGAGGGGTGCAGTGTTGAAGGGGAAACTGTCTTAATGGAACACAGAAAGAGCCTTGTTTCCTAAGCTACTCAAACACAAACAAAAACAGCTCCACTCTTATAGCCCTCACTCCCAGCTCTGTGGCAGCTTCAGACATGCCCATACCTGACGGCTGAGTTTCCTACAGAAGATGCAACCACTCCGCTCATCTTCCTTTTTAATTTTCTCTACTGCCAAAAAATGACAGTCTACTCTTTCAAAGCTCAGTGTTGTCACTATTCTTAACAGAAGCTTGTCTTCAAGAAAATCTCATTGTGGAAATATTGCTAGATCACAAGATAAAAAAGTCAAAATGACTGAATTCTCTATTTGTGAAGGCCAACTTTTCCAGCTCCTCCTTCAGAACCTTATTAAAAAATTTCCTGTTTGTGCTCTGATCTACAGCTCACATCTTTTCTTCACACAGGGTAATCGGTTACATGTAAAATAACATTCTTTCTCCCTCTACCCATTTTCAACTGACTTATCCATCCAACAAACGTTTGTTGAGTGCTCTCGTGTTTGCCATATGGGATGCTATCAGTGAACAACACAAAGACCCTGTCCTTATGGTACTCACGATCTAGTGTGTGTGTGTGTGTGTGTGTGTGTAAAAATGTCAAAAAATCACAATCCTCAAGCTGGTGGAATGGCTCAAGTGGAAGAGTGCCTACCTAGCAAGTGTGAGACTGACTTCAAACCTCAGTACAAACAAACAAACAAACAAACAAAAAAAAACCTACAGTTCCATTCAGAAAATTACTGTATTTAATTCCCAACATGCAACATGAATCTAGAAGGGCAGTAGCAAATAAATGGTAAAAAAAAAAAAATCTTTAATAAAATTTGCAAGGAACACCAAAAACTACATTGTGAATTTTTTATTCTGTGATCCAACTCAGGCACTGTATAAACTTCTTTAGGACTGGGACTATATGTTTCTTTCTGTCTCTTTTTAAGGGCAGTATTTCATTTTTATACTCAAAGGAAAAAAACCCAAAGTACATTGTTGGAATAAAATGTAAAATATGTGTGAATTTTTAAAAAATGACACATGAGACTAGAAAGACATTTCTCCTGCTTATGTTGGGCTATTTTGGCCTTGACTCTTTGACCTTTAGGGAAACACAGCTGTACTCTAATTGGATAATGACAAAGGGCCACATTAGGCTGATTTTGCAGTCCAGTTTTAAGGCCTGACACAGGGAAGTCCTACATTTTAGGCACTCAATGAACACTTGCTAAATGGAGGAATGAATGTTCACAATCAACTCAGGCATTTTCGCTAACACAAGAATAATGGGGAGCTGTTTTTTTAAGGCAGTCCAAAGCCTGGATGAACTAATGAGCTTTTAAAAATGCAAGGTCAAACAATGGAATTTTACGCAGCCATGAAGAAAAATGAAATCTTATCATTTGCAAGCAAATGGATGGAACTGGAGAACATCATCCTGAGTGAGGTTAGCCAGGCCCAGAAGACCAAAAATCGTATGTTCTCCCTCACATGCGGACTTTAGATCAACGACAAACACAACAAAGGGAATGGACTTTCATCACATGATGAGGCGAGAGCACACAGGGAGGTATGAGGATAGGTAGGTAACCCAAAAAAAGAAGATAGCATTTGATGTCTTCAATGCAAAGAACTAATGTAGAAACTTTAAAGCAACGGATGCCAATAGGAGAAGGGATCAGGAACTAGAGAAAATGTTAGTTCAAGAAGAATCAATTTAGAACGTAACACATATGTACAGGAAAGCAATGCGAGGAGTCTCCCTGTATAGCCATCCTTATCTCAACTAGCAAAAACCCTTGTCCTTCCTATTATTGCTTATACTCTCTCTTCAACAAAATTAGAGATAAGGGCAAAACAAGTTTCTGCCTGGAAGCAAGGGGGTGGGGAGAAGGGGGGAGCAATTACCCAATTGTTGTATGCACATATGAATAAAAGAAATTTAAAAATAAATAAATAAATGAAATAAAAATGCAAGGTCAATTTCTAATTCAAATTACATGTTTCTTCCTATCCAACATTATGAGTCTCAACTAAAGCACCTTTCTTCTTTGGTGGCACTGGCGCTTGATCTCAGGGCCTTATGCTTGCTAGACAGGCACTCTACCACTTGAGCCAAGCCCCCAGCCCTTTTTTTAATGTGTGTGTTTTTAGTTATTTTTCAGGTAGGGTCAGTCACAGCTGAAATCACAGACATGCACCACCACACTGGTTTATTAATTGCCCAGATTGGCTCAAACTGCGAGCTTCCCAATCTCTGCCTCCTGAGTAGCTAGGATTACCGGTGTGAGCCTCTACACTGAGCCCTCAAATAAGCATCTTAAGTTTGGCAGGATCTTCCAAAGTATAATGTGTGGTTTTATAAAATTGCGCAGTTGCTTGGACAAACTGGTGTTTTCTAATCCATCTTGTAAATTCTAATCTTTTCTTTGAAAATGACTGGGCCATTCCCTCTGGGTTGATAGATTCAAGTCAGCTTTTCCTCCACACCTGCAGAATCAAGAAAGGCTTTGCATGCCAGGAAAGCTACCATTTCCAGGTGTTTGAAACATGCATTTCCAGCTAAACAAGCAGGTCATGAATAGATCATAGAGGCTCACCTGAGAAGGGGCACTGCAGGACAGCCCAGACAGTTCACTGATCCGAGCAGCAGCGGTGGGGTTGCTGGAGCTGATGAGGACAGGAGGGCTGATCTCCATGGAGTGACGGTTCTGGGCTGCGTGCGAGGACTTACTGGCCATGGTGAGGGACGTGAAGGAGTGCCGCTTTTTGGTGTTCTTCTTGGTGTCGGAGTGCTTTGGGGCTGTGCTGCTCTGGGCTGCCACCGAGGTACATTGTCCTGCATCACCTCCTGGCAGGGAAGGCTTATCCCATTCTATCAGCTGCTTGGCAGCCGAGTTAAACTGCAAAGCAAGCGGCACAACAAGGTTGGGCACTTGTCAAAGATTTGTTTTCCATATGATTTTACCTAACATTTAAAGTCACAGTTTTAACATTCGCATATGCCAGTGAGGTTACTTTTTTCTCATGAGAAATGTTGTCTCTCCATACTGGGATCTCATTGTATCTATGTCACAGGAGATTTAAATCAAGAATATATAATTTCAATGCAAGACTGAAAAGGCAAAAACTATTTTTTCCCTAAGAGTTTTCAGAATGTCTTGTTTTAACATTTGCCAATAACAAAAAAAAGAGATTTATTTCAGCTCACTGAGTATAGAGCAATCAAAAGGATATTCAGATTTTTGTCTCACTGAATACCTTGCTACCTGGTGGCAGTTGGGTGCTTGCTCAGAGCACACCGAACATTGAAGGACCAACTGTTGGGTTTGGTAGGAATAAACAAGAACCCACGGAATGAAACCATTCACTATTAATGCCTGTACCCCTAACCCAATCAACCAACTCCCTGGTTCTCTCCATGTATCTTGAGTAATGTCACCAAAAAGTTCACTGAAGTTCTTGATATGTTTTTGTCATGTCATGTCATGTCATTTATCTTCATATGTGCTCAAATTTTAAATCAGAATAGAGTAAGACATGAAATTCAAGACCTGTTGGCCAGCTAACTGGGTCTGTTGAAAAGTCCCAGTGCAAAGTAGGAGAACTAGGGGTCAAAATATGGGTATGGGGCTGATAAGATCATCAGAAAAGGAAAGAACACTTGCTTTTTGTTCTCCCTGGAGTAAAATAAAACATTTCCAGAAAGCTTCAATGATAACAAGCTCAATGTAACTTACCTAGCTATTACATTATGAGAAAACACTGAACGCAGAGCTTAACCTCTCATTAAAAAAAACTGAGATGAAAAACAAGAAACTTTAAAGAGGTAACACAGGTAATATTAAGGACAAAAGAGATCCCATCTCCGCATTACACACTCAGCATTTCACAAATGTCTTTATATGAAATTACACCCCCTAATGTTTTTCTCCTACCCACCTCAGCTGTTCAGCCCATGTCTTCTCACCCTGTTGATGAGACCACCCTACTGGGATAATGGAATTCTGGTCAGTCAATATTTAACAAAGAAATAAACTTGCTCTCCTGCAATCCTACAGTTGTGTTCACTGCAGCACTGTGCTTCCAGAGCAGTTCCAAACTGACTGACAATTTGTTCCTGTGGTTCCCTGGGGACTCAAATTCAGGCGGCTTGTCTGATCAATAATTAATATAACAAATCTTTTCAAACATAAGCATCTCTTCGTCAGACTTCAAGGAAGTTTTTCCTAAGATAAACTTTCAGTAACACTCTACCAACCTATGGAGTGCAACTGGCAGAAAAAAGAGGACCACAAAGCTTCTCGTGGGGTGTTCAGGGATGAAGGAACCAGTTGTTATTAAAGCATTACTGTGGTGCTTGGCCACAGTTTATAAATCCTAGGTTGGTCTAGCTATCCCATCTTCTGGGTGATCCCCTAGAATCAAATGCTCAAAGGAAGCAAAGTAGTGTTTGGTGACTGGTGGGGAAGGCCCCAGCCTCAGAGAAGAGCTCTAATAAACTACCGTGAGCCACGTGAGGCTAGAGACCTCTTTCCTACACAGCCAGGGCTTAAGTAGTCAAGAAGCAAAGCAGGCTGAAGAGCTAGTCACTTCCCCCATCCCAAACTTACTGCTGTTATGCAACCTTTTTTCCCCTGGTGGTGCTGGGATGGAACCCAGGGCTCTGCACATAGCACTCTGTCACTGAACTACATCCCTAGCCCTCACCACTCCAGGGTAAAGGAGTCAGACAATGGCTTCCACTGTAATCTTATTTCTACCCTAAGGCACAAATCTTCCAAAGTAGTATGCTGGAATCTGACCAATCAATTTGGTAATCCTGCTCTGTTCAATAAGATTTCATGTCTACCTGATATTTCATTTAGATTAATTCTAGGGTCAAATCACTTTAGCTGTGCTTGTTCTGAAGTATTCTGATCTGTTACCATAACCTCGTCAAGGTAAAGCATCAACTATAGTTAATATTATGTTACTATTTCTGGTTTCCATATGCTGTGTTCTGAGATGAGTATCTGAGAATTAAAGTATCACTCTCTCTGTTTCTTGCTATTTTTCTCATTATAAAAATGTTGGATGCTTCCTTTGTATCCTTTTCCATCTTATATCCTCTCCATTCAAATAAACATGAGCTGAGCAGCTGTTAGGGTTGTGCTAGGTGCTGGCGATCTGCAGACCCGGCTTCTGCCCCGAAGGGGTAATGACCAGGCATATCACAGTGCTCCCCATAATCCCTCATGTCTGGCTGATTGCTCCACAGTATGCCTTCTGACACTAATTCCTATTGCTCCAGGTCAGTAATTCAGTCTCCTTAATCGCTGTGAAATACTCCACAATGTGAACATACTATTTATCCATTTCTACTGCTGATTGAAATTTGGGCCTTCATTCCTTCCTTACTTTCCTTCCCTCCCTTTCTTCCTATAGAATTCAGCAATTAAGAAAATTGAGTAATTAAGAATGTGACTAATATTGTACATATCTGTTGATGCACATAAGTACTCATTTGGATATTGGCTGTACATCTAGGAGTGGAACTGCTGGACCAGAGGGTTGGTATGTTTATTAAAATACAGTGACATGCAGTAACATGCAGGTGCAGGTAGACACAGCAGGGTGTGATAGAATTAACTGGCAGACAAAAGACCACGATTCTAGCGCTAGCAGTGCCCTTAACTCCGTGCCTTTAAGGCAGCCATTTCAGCACTACTGATCACAGCTTCCTCGTGGACAGAACAAGTAGGAAGCAGCTGATGACTTTTATGTCTCTTTTAGCTCACCACGTGTATAATGTATAATCTTACTTTAAACTTAGTTCGCTTTTATAGTTTATTTATACCCCTCTGAACAGCCTATTTTCCCTGCACTTAATTTTTTGCATGGACAGTAATATTTGTTGGTAAGATGTCATCGTATTTCAAAATTTAGCTTTCTTTGGTGGCAGCTGAGGTTAGTGTCACTAACAGTGCTCCTCACTTCTTTTTTAAGTTCCAGAGAAAATGGTAAGTGAAGACTAGGGTAGGCCACTTCAGTAATCAGACAGGAAGGTAAAGGGGCTTTTGGTGCAAGTGTAACTTAACCTTTGGTAACAACAGGAAAGCAAGGATTTGAAGCTTTTCATGAAATTTTGATAAAATTGATGAATGTTTGTTTGAGCTCAGTAGTAAGGGCTTTCTTTCTGTGACATTTATCTATCTGTGACCTTTGAAGTTAAAACTGTACTCATCACCTGCAAAGTGAATTTGTGTCCTAAAATACCTTCTTCTAAGCCTTCCATAAGGAGCTGGGGCAAGATGTAGGCTGGCTTCAAGATAAGATCCAGTGTACTAGAGCCAAGGCAGGGGCTACAGGTTTACTCATGTTAAAATTCTATGTCCCTCTTCTTCCTCTTCTACTATTATTACTTTTTTATTTTTACTATTCTGGGGATCAAACCCAGGGCCTTGCACAAGCTAAGCAAGTACCCTACCTACCACAGTGCAGTTTCCCCAGTCTTCTTATGTCCTTCGTAAGAAAAAAAACCTAAACTTTAGAAAGAATTTGTCTTTGAGAATTATCAGAAGTATAAATAAACACGAGAGAAAATATTGATTAAAAACATTAATAACAATAAAGCATCTTAAGTAATATTAAAATTTGTGTGTGTGGTTGCTCACTACGAAAGAGAGCATGGCATTTTTAAAAATGGGACTTACTTTTTTTTTTTAAGAGAAAATAATTTTAATGAGAGCTAAGTTGAAAAGTCACTCTTTCATATGAAGCTTTCCAGGTGAATCAATTGTGACCTTTTCAATATTAGAAAGTACAAATAGTAGGTTTGAGAACTATCTTCATTTACAATCCACTAGAATGTCCCTGAACTAATTATTTTTTTGACAAAAGGCAAATAAAACTTTTAAAATGTATTATAAAAGTAATATATATACATTATTTTCTACAAGGAAATAAATAATATAGAATATCACAACCAGCTCCCCACATCTGTCTCCTGATACATTTTCAAGATGAATCTGTGTTTTAACAATTTAAAACACATCCTCCCACACATTTTCTTTCTTTCTTTTCTTTTGTAGTACAGGGGCTGAACCAGGGTCTCATGCATGCGAGGGAGGTACTCTACCACTTGAGCCATGCCCCTGGTCCCTCCAACATTTTCCATGTTGGTGATGTCATATAGGAATCTACTTTACTGATTTTTAACACAAATGAAATCAGGCAATACTATTCTCTCCCTTAATAATATCTCATGACCCTACGTCATTTAATATATCGGTATGCTTATGTAAGTACATCCTTAGATAAATTTCTAAAAGTGAAGTTCTTGGATCACAGTGTACTCATAAATTTTATTTAAAGTATGCAGCCAAACTGCACTTCAAAAAAGTTTTAATTTTCACCACCTCAAATATGTCTTTCTTTCCCCAAGTTGTTAACAATATTTCCTAGCTGGAAAGATAAGAAAATATATCATATTTAATTTGCATTTCTCTATTAATGAGATTAAGCATCTATTTTCATTTTTAAGACTGGCCTGTTCCCACGCTTTATGCATATTTTTCTTGTGCTGGTGGTATTATTCTTATAGATATATATTGTAAATATTCTATATACTACATAAAGTGCTTTTCATGCAACATACATGTACATACATCTAAATTAAAAATACTGTTCCAATATAGAGTTTGTGAATACAATTTTATTTTATACTTTATCAATCTCTTCCACTATAGTATTAAATTAAACATCACGGTTTAAAAATCTTATTCCAGCCAGGCATGGTGATTCATGTCTATAATCCCAGCACACAGGATTTTAGGCAGGAGAATCATGAGTTCGAGGCCAGCCTGGGTTACAGAGCATGAATCTGTCTCAAAACAAACAATAATAACAAACCTTCCAAAAT